CGACTTCGGCTCAGGTCGTGATTTCACGGTCCATGAGTTCGAGCCCCGTGTTGGGCTCTGTGCTGACAGCCTGCTTCGGATTCTGTGTCTCCCTCTCTCTGACCCTCCCCCGTTCATGCTCTGTCTCTGTCTCAAAAGTAAATAAACATTAAAAAATAATAACAATGATAAAAAAAATAATAAAAAAATTTTAACAAGACAACACCCGACGACAGTCCAGCCCAGTGCCTGGCAGACAACAGGCTCAGTAAACACTCGCTGTGCCAACTGGGTGCCCCCTGTGCAGGGAAGACCCTAGGAGAGCGGGGTCCCTGGAGCCACCTGCCCCGGTGGGACATGGGCTGGCACCAGGGGGAGATGGCAGCGGTCGTTCGGGGAGCAAAGCCCCACACCCGCAGGGCAGGGGGGTGGGTGGGAGGAGGGGAAGACCACGAAACAGGTGGGGCGGCACAGGTGCTGGGAGTGAGGAGCCAGCAGGAGTGCGGAATCCGGGAAAACGCTCCCGGACGGCACCACAGGCAGACGGCCGAAGGTACGGCAGCGAGCGTGGGGATGGAGGCACTGCGGCGAAGAAGGCGGGGAGGTGTGGACCCGAGCAGGGCGATGACCAGAGGCCCAAATACCTGGCTCCGAGGGCTTGTCTGCATCTCCGTTGACACAGGGCCTGCGGCTGGCCGCGGTGGGGGCTTCGGCAGGGGGCTGGAGGAGCAGGTTGCTGAAGGTGGGGGCCAGTCGGAAGCAGCGCTTGGTCTGGAACATCTGGGTGGACATGGCTTGTAGATTGCTGGCAATGCTGGCCTCGCTGGGGCCCAGTGGGCCATTGAGAGACTCGGGAGCCTCTGACCTGGGCCGAGGGGGCTCCAGGGCTGGGGACCGTGTCCCCTCCTCATCCTCAATATCTTCCAGGTCTGATCGGGACTCTTGGCTGTTCATTTCCGAGTCTGTCTCCGCATCAAAGGCCGTTCCCCCACCTTCCAGACTCTTGTCGGAGCCGCTGTCCGAGCCCTCGCTGGCCCTGGCCGAGTCATGGCTGGAGTCCGACTCAAAACCTTCACTCAGGTCACTGTCATCCCCAGCTCTGGGTGGATGGCGACGGCGGCGGAGGCAGGAGAGGCGGGAGAACTTCCGGCTCTTTCTGACCTCACCAGCTTGAGGTGCTGCGGGAGGGGGCTCAGGGCCCGGCGCCTCCTCCTTCTCCAAGGGCTCATCTGTGCGGACACAGCAGAGCCCAGAAATTCTAGGCGCTCTCTGGTACCACCTCTAAGCACACCTGTTCCCCCTCCTCGACGCGGCGCCCCAGGCGAACCTTCCCCGGCCACGCCCCCATTCCCGCACCTGTGCCATCACTCTGGAACGCCGGCACGGGGTTCTCGCCCTCCTCCAGCTCAGCCTGTAGCCGTATGTTGACGTGATTGACGAGGTGGGAGAAGAGGGCCAGGGTGAAGGCGATGGCCGCGCTGTACTGCTTGGATCCTAAAGCCAGGGGAGCCAGGCGTTAGGGCCCAGGGCTCCGACGAGCGGGCACCCGCGGCTCCAATCCCATCTCGTGTTCTCAACCCTTCCAAGGATCCAACTACCCCTCGAAGCCTCCTCTAAGGAAAACAGACTCCTCAGGTCTCTGCATCTAGAATGTGCCAGCTCGCTCTGTGCCTCCTCGGGCAAGCATACCCTCCTCTTGTGCCACGCCGTCCTCTCTGGCTCTGATGCCTTCACACCGGCTCCTCCTCGCAGCCCAAGCACCTGCACACCCAGCCCGGCCTCTCCCGCCCTCCCAGGCCGGCCCCACACACACCTCTGCCGGGAAGGCCCGCAGAACTGCCTGACTGCCCCCAATAGCAAGGTCTAAACTCGGTCTGCACCCTCAGCTCACTATCCTGCCCTCTCGTCTGCCTGGGTCACGGCCAAGACGGTGTCTGTGGGACTGGAAGGGGTGAAGACACGCAGTTGCCCTCGTTCGTTCACCAGAGCAACTTCAGGGTGGGGTTCCTTGTCCCTCGCACTCCCACAGCCAAGCAGTGACACAGGTGGCAACGGCACTGCTCACGGGAGGAAGTTCAGGAATAAGGAGCTACGGGAAGAGCACCGAGGACCCCGGATGCCGGGGGGAGAGGGCAGGGCACACAGGGAGTCACCTGCTCTCTTCAAGCTGTGCACACCCATGAGACAGACGATGACCATCTGGAAGATGAGAAGGTCCGGGAGGAAAGCGTAGCCACCCTCGTAGTCCTCCTCGCCCTCGCTGGCCAGGCTGAGGTTGGGTGAGGAGGGCAGGTAGAAGAGGCACAGGTTGAAGTCCTCCAGGACCGACTGGCAGAGGGATGTGAGCTCCGCGTCCACCGGGCTGCGGAAGGGCAGGAGCGGCAGGGAGGTCAGAGACGCGGCCTGGGGCGGGCACCAAGAGCTGGGGACACAGGGGAGACTTCGGAGAGAGCCGCCCCGCCGGGGGCTGGCAGGATGCGCTCCGTGTGCCGGCCCTCCTCCGCTCACCTGCTTCTGGGCTGCAGGAGGCTTTGCAGGTACATGAAGTTCACCAGCAACCTCTTAATGTCTTTACATCTGGAAGGAGAGGAGCCCCAGGTAAAAGGCCAGCAGCCGCAGGGCCCCTGCGCCCCACAGGCCCTACTCACCGCTTCCTGCTGGGGGAGAGTTTCCGAGTCTCACACTTCTTTAGCTGGTGGTACATTTTGGCAGCCTTATCATACAACCGCTTGAGATTCCCATAGGCCCCCTCAAAGGACACCTCCGACTGGATGCTGTGGGAGACGCAGAGGGAAGCTACGGGCTCTTGGCGGCAGGGGGAGGGGGGACGGTGCTCCGCTGTGTTTTAGGGAGCAATGCTTCTGGCAGTACAAGCTACCCCCAGCCTCCCCTCCCACGGACACACTCAGGGTGAAGGCCATCTTTCAGATAAAATACAGACGCGACTTCTAGATCAATCAAAATATAATTAACGCCTTCGCTTCCTCTATATTCACAAACTCAAGTCCATCACCGTCCCTAAGATACCCTTTGTCTTTTTTACAGTATAGAGCACTTAACAGGTAGCAGTCAACAAGGGGCGACCACGTACAAGGGTATTTACACACACAACTAAGTGTCCTTATGACACTCTTCTGAATAGGAGGAGTGTGTGCGGAGTGGTCCCCACATGTCAGGCACTGCACCTGACCCTGTCGGCACATACGCACGAGAAGATGGAGCCTGGAAGGACAAGAATGCGGCCAAGGCCACACGGCTAACGCATGGTGGGGAGGAGTCCCCAGCCCAAACCTGTCTCACTACGGCGTCTATGACACCAGCACTGTAGCGTTTCTAATGTCTTTCCTGGGGGAAGAAACCTCTTCATCATAAAGAACAAGGTACAGAAAAGGGTATCTGCTTGTGAGTAAAAGGTAGCCACAAATTTTTTGACCCTCCTTCCATCCACACAGGTTTTCTGCCTGCTCCCCTTTAATAGAGGGCCAGGGGGAGAGGACAACGCAATGCAAGCGCTCTGACCCACAGAACACTGTGGAAGTGACTCGGCCAGCTTCCAGGCTCAGGCCATAAAGGACTGACATTCTATTTCCACATCTCTTGGGTCATACTTCACTGTTGGGAGCCCTGAGCTCCCATGTAACACATCTATCTCTCCTCAAGAAAGACCACATGGGGGGGGGGGCGGGCAGATGAGCCTCACTTCAGACCTATCAGCCCCCCAGGTCAGCTGAACACCAGCGACTGATCCTAGACAAGGCCACCAGGGGAAAAGAACCACCCAACTGAGCCCTACCCAAATGCCTGACCCAGGAACGACGAGATGTGCTTAGCGCACACAGCAGGGCAGGACCTTAGCGGGCACCTTCCAAACCTGGATGTGCTGGGCTCTCTGGAAATGATTCACCCTAAATCACAACCATGAGTGTGATGAGGGACCAAGGACAAGAGGGCATTCCCTGGAAGGCATGTGAGGCATAGAGAAGATACAATGGAAGGCTACAAACCTGATAACTATATTTAAGAACGAATACAGTGGCATCCGTGGGGGTGGGGGGTGGGGGGTGTCCTGCACGGATTCAGAAAAGGAGACAGGCACCTCGAGAGCAAATACTCTGTTGATACAAGGAAGAGCTTTCCTGGACCAGGTGAACCAAGGAACGTGGCACGTGGAATTATGAGGCGGGACCATATCTTATACTTTAGTATTTGATCAGCAAAGTTATGAAGACCAGCTTATTCCCTCTGCCTTGAAGCCGGGTTTATATCAGCCTGTCCCGCACGTGACTGGCTGCTCAAGTTTAAGGTGGCCCTGACTAGGCGGCAGCAGGTGAGTCCCAGCCAGTTTATGCCGACGACGGCCCGGTCAGTGGCACCCCCACCTACCCGGCCCCACTCGGGTATGCTGACTCAGCAGACTGCCCACCCGAGTCCAGGCCTCCGAAAACGATGTCCCTGATTCTGAGAGCGGAACGTCAGCACCAGGGAGGCAGCGAGCCACCCTAACCCTAGCCCACCCTGTCATCGGGTCACCTCAAAACACTGAAGATCTACAGTTCTGCAGTTCTCGTCATCCGTTACTTCGGTAACATTTCACTGACTAGATCGAATTTACTTTCTTCAAGACGGTGGGCAGTGTTCCCGGCTGCCCCAGTTCCTACACATCCAGGTGGACTTGTGAAAAGCAGCAGGGCTGTGTCAGAGTGCCCCTGACAGGAGGGACCCCTCAGTCTCCGCTTCCCCTATTTCAGCCAGGAGCTAGAAAAGGGAGGCGAGAAAGCCGAGCAGGAGCAGCACGGACGTGACAACTGGGCCGGGGAAGGGGCGGGCGAATGCTCACCAGCGGAGGTAGCAGTACATAGCTTCCACGTTGTAGTACTTGCTGCCCGCGAGCGTGCCCAGCTGGTTGAAGGGCATTCCTGGAGAGGAGAGAGACGTCACACGGTCTGCGGACACGATACGCACCCAGAGCTGCCAGGACCAACGGGTGCCAAGCGGCGGCGAACCCGGGGAGAGAACAACGGGGTCTCGGGTGACGAGCAGTGGACTCTGCCGCGTCTCCAGGGGATCGCCGATCGCAGACTCCCTTCCTATCAGTCTAGTCCTGCCCGGCCTGGCCTACCGGGGATTTCAGCCCCCGGGGGTGTCACCCCCTCACTGGTGGCTGTGGCTCTCGCAGGGGTGATGGTACGTCACGGAGCCCTCTCCTCTACCCCGGCTCGGTTTCTCACCTCTGAGCTCTCCTGCCTACGGGCTAATAATCCTCACCTCTCCCTATAATGGAGCCTTAGCTCTTCTCTCTGTGCCTCCTGCGGGAAAAACAGCTGAAGCGGAGTTTCCTCCTCCCGCAGAGACCCACAGAGACAGGGAAGCCATCTTCTCGTCTTTCCCCTCTGCCTCCCTCCTTAGATCAAGACTGCATTTCTCTCGAGCGTGCGTTATGAGGGGGACAACGCATAACCGAGGTGAAGTGTGGCGGAACCGAGCGCGGGGGGACCTAGGGAGCCGGCGCGGCCTGCCTGCTGTCTCAACGTGGTCTTCCTCTTGGAAAACGCGGCTGGGTAGGGAGGCCCAAGCGGGGGTGCCACTTACCAATCTGGGGGGCTACTGACAGGGCTTGATAGTAAAATCTCTCAGCTAGCAGCTCGGTGTCTACGCCAGCTAATTCATTCTGATACCGTGCTGCAGGAGAGAGGAGGAAGAAAACTCCGTGATGCCGCGTTTCAGAAAAACGTCCCCTCGTCTGGGAGTCCACTCTGTGCAGCTGTAGTAAGAGCCTGGGAGGAAGATAGCTGAGCTAGGAGGCAGGCTGCTTGGGTCTCTGGCACAATCTTAACTCTGCGTGACCATGAACAAATCGTTCAACTCTCTCTTGCTTGTGGGTAGCTTCGAAATGTAGAGACTATTTGGTGTTGATAACAGGCTCTTGCTTCTCTCTCCCCAAGGAAGGGGACCCACGGCAGATGTAACCGCCTGCAAAGACCTCTGGTGTTTGGATCCAGAACGCAACTGGACATTACCGTCCTGTAACGTCCAGACCTTACTACGGACACCTGGTCCGTCTAACACGAAGCAGCTTGCCTCTCCCTGTGCGTACTGCTTATCAGAGGTCCAGAAGTGGGCTGGGGCCAAGGAGGGGAGCCTCAGGAAATAAAAGATAATCCTACAGCCCCCCACCAACAGCCTAATGAGGAACCTTTGGCTGCCAGGACTACAGACCCAGGGGCCATCAAGCAAGGGAGCACTTTTTCCCTCTGAGAAACGTCTGTTGGGCAGGTAGGTCCTCCACGAAGTCTAACTTCCACTCCTCTAGGAGTCCATCAAGAGAAAACTCCAAAGGAGAAAAGCCCCGAATTAAAACCTTCCTAACCCACCATTGAAACCGAGTTACCACTCAGACTTTCTCAAAGTTCATTTGCCTTCTTCCGTGTTCACTGAACCTTTCTGCTAACGGAAAGGCAGGGAAAAGAAGGGAACATCGAATGACTGAAGGAAACAGTCACAGCAGCCAAACGTCCCCCTGCTCTCCCAGCACCTACAGGGCGGTACCAACAAATGAAGCAGCTTTCCGCCTGTCCCGGAGCCCCGAACAGAAAACAAAGAGTTCAGATTCTTACACAAATCCCCCAGGTACATGAGACATCGGTGGCACGCCATCTGTGCCCAGTCCATCTCCTTCCCTGAGGCAGACACTGGCTTCTTGCATCCTGAAAAAGACAGAGAAACTTAGAAGTGCATCCCCCTGCCTCCTACCTGAGGGGAAACACCTTCCCTAGGTGGAGAAAGGAGATCAGAAATCCACCGCTAGTCTTGAAAAGACTGTGTTACGGGGCACAGAAGACACTCATCCAGGACACAGGTTGACAGAGGCTCGCAGGTAGGAGTCCTTCATGGGAAAACCACAAACCAGAGGAGACAGGCTAGGGTCCCGGACCTAGGACAGTGCCCTGGGGAATGGCTACGTGAAAGGTCATCACAGAAGGCTTCTAGAAAGGACAAAGAGAAGCTCCGGTGTCAGGACAGTCTTGGGTGTCCTGCCTGAGTGGTGAGGGGGACCAAAGCTGAAAGGTTTGGGTACAGACGAGACCCGCCCAGGAAGAATGGCCTGAATGAGGCCAAGGTAAGTGCTCCTGGCTTCCACCTGGGGGGCGGGGGCCCCCCCGAGAAGGCCGCCCACTGGGCAGTCCGCCCACGAGGGAGACGGGTGAGCTTGCCTTGCATGAGGACACGCGTGGCCAGAGCCCCATGTGCTGGGCTCTCATCCCCCCTCCCCCAGCAGCTGTGTAACCTCAGTTCAGAGAGCCTGAGCTCTTTGGGAGGCAGTCTTCTCACGTGACAGGGACCAGTCCGAGCGCTGTTCAGTGTCAACTTCACCGACCCTCCAGCAACCCCATGAGGTGGCCGCTCTCATCACGGAGAGCTGTCACACAGCGGGTAAGCGGCAGAGCCAGGATTCCAAAGGCAGACCGGCTCCAGAGCCCGTCCCCTTGCCCATGCCACCTCGCAGCCTCTCTGCTTGCTGTGTGACTCCCACTCTGAAAAGCCCTTCCTAGTGTTTTCCACAGACACCGCTTAGCTGGCTGCATGAGAAGACATCGATGCGAAGGAAAACGGGAGTCTGGGGAACTGATACTTTGAGGTTAGGGTTCTTCACCTGTTTCGGACTGTGGACCCCGCTGGCCATCTGGTACAAGGCCCGTGAGGGTGCTCTTAAGCTAGGTTGTTTTGTTTTTATTTTTAAGTTTATTCTGTGAGAGAGAGCAAGCAGGGGAGGGGCAGAGAGAGAGGAGGGAGAGAGAGAGAGAATCCCAAACGCTGTCGGCTAGGAGCCTGACACAGGGTTTGAACCCGTGAACCACGAGATCGTGAACTGAGCCGAAATCAACAGTTGTACGCTTAACGAACTGAGCCACCCAAGTGCCCCTGGTTTCGTTTTTAAATAATTTTCTGTAAATGCACGAAATGCAGTGCTGTGCTTCTGACGGGAGAACGCTACCGTGTGGTGGCGGGGTCACAAACCGGGACCCAGGGGGTGCAGCAGGGCAGGGGCAGGGAGGTGAGGAGGAAGGGGCTCAGGGGTGGAGGGGAGGAGTGCCAGAGGGTGGCCAGACTAAAAAGAAAACCGCCAATGAGAGATGGACGTACAGCACGGCCACCGACCCTGGGGCAGGTGCACGGAGACAGGTGCTACCGTGTAGAAGCGTCTGTAATCCCTGGACGTTTCCAAGACCTTCGGTACTTACAAAAACAGTGGGAAACAATCTCTGAACTTAAAAGAAACAGTGCCAGGGGTGCCAGGCTGGCTCAGTCAGTAGAGCGTGCAGCTCTTGATATCAGGGTCCTGAGTTTGAGCCCCATGTTGGGCACAGTAATTACTTAAGTACAAACTTTAAAAAAACAAAGAAAAGAAAAAGAAACTGCCAGCCAAACTCAACTGGGAGAAGCCAATAAATGTTACTGTCTTCCAGAGCCAGCCCTGCTCTGGATCATTCCATCCCTCCCTCCGACTACACCTCAGTCTACAGTCCCAGAACAAAAGAAACCCTTCTCTTTCCCGAACATCTTCACCCTATGTCACGCGCTTGCTTGGATGAACCATACTCCACCAGCCGCGTGCAGGTCTTGCTAGAATCCTCCGGCCCGGCCAGGTCACAAGCTACGCCGACCCAGAAGAATAAGAAGGCCAGATGCGGAGGCGCGGAATCTTGCTCCTCAAGCCCGCCTTTCAGATTTCACTGACCTATGAGGGGGTCGGTGACATGGGTCCAGTCGATGCAGCACTGAAGCTCCAGCTGGTAGTGGGACTGGATGTAGAGAAGCAGGTGCTGGTAGAAGCCAATCCCGGCTACCAGATGTGTCCTGTAGGCACATTCCAAGGTGCTGCGGCTGTGGATATGCTGGGCGTCGGGAAAGGGAAGGGGCTGGCTAAGCAAGATGCTCAGAGGACGGTTCCCCCTCCCTAACCCCGTTCCTTCGGGAGGAAGGTAACCTATCTTCTTGGCTCTGAACTGCATCCACACCTCTTCTCGCTCATGAGTGATCCCCACACCCGTAGACCCACTTCTCTGGTCTTCCCATCTGGGATGAGGCTCCTTTCCTCCCCCGATCCGAAGCACCCCTGACCCCCTCCCTCCTTTCTGCCATCTTCTCCGCGGCTCCTCTTTCTCCAGCCATGTCCTGGCCCGCTTCCTAGCTGTCTCTTCCTTTCTTAGCTTCCCTCTTTAGACACATTTCTTCTCAGGACCCAGGACCTCCCCTTACCTTTTTGTTAGTCTTGATAAGCTGAATGACTTCATAGTACACCTTTCTCCACAGCAGCTCCTCAGCCTTCCTCCCATAGTCCACCGGGTGCAGGAACATGAGCTTGACGCAGAGCTCACGCAGCCTGCGGGTACAGAGGAGCACAAGAGACTGACCATCCTGAGCGGAGCAAGGAGGCCTCTGCCAATCCCCGGCCGAGAAGTCCCTGCGCCTCCCAAGAGACATCCAGGGTCAGTCTGCATGACCCAGGACAAAGAGCAGTTCTGGGGGGACAGTGGGAGCCCCAGAGGACAGAGGCAGGAACAGTAAGAACTTTAATAGTCTTCTTCTTCCCCTGCACATTTCTCTCCTTTTTTTCTGCCTCTTTACCCCATCTTTCTTTCCTGTCATGGAGCAGCATGGCCAGCCCCCCAGCTCCAATGCCATTCGTATGGCTCCAGTCTGTTAGATGCAGGAGCTTCAGAGAGAACGAGGGGTCCCCATCTCTTCTCTCAGGAAGGCCAGAGTTCACGGCCCGTTATTGTACCACGAGGCCAGGACGTAAGAGAGAACAGGTGTCTATATGCGACAGAGTTTCAGGCAGAGAGGGGGTAGAGAAACCGTAAGGATCTGCGGTTTTGCAGTCTCCAGCTTACTTGTTCCTCAGGCTAATGTTCTCTGGTTTGAACACTTCTTGATAAGCGGTTTTGTTGCAAAGGATGAGGTCAAGTCGATGCACGGCCTCCACCACAGCCCTGGAGAGAAACACGGGCAGGCAGTCCCTGAGCCATGAACATGTTCACGCAGGCTGGGGGGCCTCCGATCGTGGAGGAGGAGCTACAGAATTAGGGGAAGTGGGCGGGCTGCGGGCTGAGCAAAACAAGACGAACACAGTCTCCCTCCGAATGTAACAGCTCTCCATCCCAGGGGACGTTTGCAACAACAGACGTTTCTTATTGTCTCCACTTGCCGCAGGGGTTTGAGGGTGTGGGAGGAGTTGCTACTGACATTTAGTGGGTGCTGCGAGACACCCCGCAATGCACAGGACAGCCCACCACAATAACTACCCAGCCCCAAACATCAACAGCGTCAAAGTAGAGAAATCCTGTGATACAAGAAGGTAGACTCTTCTTTTAACATTTATTCATTTTTGAGAGGCAGAGAGAGAGAGAGTGTGAGCAGGGGAGGAGGCAGAGAGAGAAGACACAGAATCCAAGCAGGCTCCAGGCTCCCAGCTGTCAGCACAGAGCCTGACATGGGGCTCGAACCCACGGACCTCGAGATCATGACCTGAGCTGAAGTCCGACGCTTAATCAACTGAGACACCCAGGCGCCCTAGGAGGTAGGCTCTCTTTTTTTTTTTAACTTTTTTAATGTTTATTTATTTTTGGGACAGAGAGAGACAGAGCATGAACGGGGGAGGGGCAGAGAGAGAGGGAGACACAGAATCGGAAACAGGCTCCAGGCTCCGAGCCATCAGCCCAGAGCCTGACGCGGGGCTCGAACTCACAGACCGCGAGATCGTGACCTGGCTGAAGTCGGACGCTTAACCGACTGCGCCACCCAGGCGCCCCAAGCTCTCTTAATGCAAAGAGCCTACACTGTGATAGGCAGAAAATCTAGAGTTTGATCCCTGGCTGTGTCTGTCTAACTCTGTAACTTTGGGTAAAGTACCTAACCCCTTTAAGTCTTAGTTGCACATCCATAAAAATGGAGAGAACAGTAGCAGCTACCTCAGAGGGCTGTCAGAATTCAAGGAAAGAATTTATATATGACATTGATATATGGTAAGCATTCAATAAACAATGGAATGAATTAATTATGCAAGGGTTTATTATCTCTGACATAAAAGAAATGCATTCGTAGCATAAAATTCTGTTTTTGAAATAGTGGGATATGGGAAAATGGCAGCGGGGGGTGGGGACTGAGCTGTTTAGGTGTAAGGTCTCCTGGATTCTGCTGAAGGAATTCTTTGATATTAGGGTGTAGGCTCTGGGTGCTGGGTAAAATATCTAGCTCGTGTCCCAGTTCTCCCATCTGCAAAATGGAAATAATATCATCACCTACTTTGTGAGAGTTAAATTAGCTACTACACAAAGCACTCAGAACAGTGCCTCATACATGGGAAGTATTCAGTAAGTGTTAGTTTCCATCTTTCCTGCTATAAGGCTAAGGAGGAGACTACAGACCTGAAGACAAAGGAAACTCTACAATGGATGGCTAAGGAGCGCCAAAGGGAGGTGTCATCTCTAGAAGGGCGAAACCCAGAGGGTGACGGACAGCCGCCGTGAGAACAGGTGAAATCAGACACAGCTCTGGGCACAAAAGCTACCAAAAAGGGGAGAGTGATGATCCCCCAAACAATCCAAGGTTGTTTCGGAATCCTGAAACATGTGCTCCTGGGCAGGGGAAGTGGGCCACCGCAGGATGGCACGCTGTGCGGGCTCGGGTGGCTCACCACTCACGGCTACCTTGTACAGGGCACGGTGACCGCCAGCACCCGCAGTGGGTGGCACGGTGATCTAGGCCTTCTCACAGGCAAACCTGAGAGCTCAGCATTTCTCCAAACACCCTCTGGGCCTGGAGAGGGGAGCCAAGCCCTTTTAGCCAGCCTGGCCCTTGATGCCAGGGGTGTGACTTACTCTATGCCAGCCTAGTTCCCCAGGGCGGGGCTTTTTGATGTCAGTGCCGTGCACGAACGTAAGGAGTGTGCGCATATGTCTTTATGGACAGGCTTCAGAGTTCTCCTTAGATTCTTGATCCAGATAAAAGGTTAATAACCATTACTTTAGGAAGTTCTAATTGCAAATTCCTTTTTTAAAAAGTAATCTCTAGGCCCAACGTGGGGCTCCAACTCCCGACCCCAAGATCAAGAGTTGCACGCTCTACTGACTGAGCCAGCCAGGTGCCCCAAAAAACATCTTTTGTAAAGTCCGTTAACTGGCCTAATTAACTGGTATTTGTGGCCCTTCCAGCATCCCTTCTGCTGCTGCCTCTTCTTCTGAAGGGCTTTAAAACATTTCAGAATTTCATTCCTGTAAGCAGACTGTGGGAATTTCCCGAATTTACTGACGCTCAGAGAGACAGTTTCATAGTCTACCAACACATTTATCTCGGGCACGGCAGTCAGACCTTCCTCCCCCAGTTCCTTCCAACAATCACCGCGGCTTTAATAAAGGACAAAAACAGAGACCTGCTGCCTCACGTTTATTTCCACCCCGCTCGAAGCCAAGAGCGTACAATCCCAGGCAGGGGTACCCAGGGGCACAGATGTAAGGCCACCTGTGCAAACGCATCACCTCAGGTCAGTCCGAGCTGTGAGGGTGGCGGCTCGAGAAAAGAACCAGACCTGAGAAGGATCAGGATGACCAGAGCTGTTACCCCAAGCTGGAGACCAGGAAGGAATCTTGCAGGCAGGGCCCACGCTCTGACAGGCAGCGTGACATTCGGCAGCATGACGAGGCACACGTGCCAGCCCCAGCCAAGTCCGCGCTGGCCCTGAGACGGCGGGGGGCAGCCTGCAGTGGGAGCCCGGGGGCTGCTGGATCGGATCACTCTTCTATTTTTGGAGCAGCCTATACTCCCCTGTGCCTCTGCCTGACAAAGCCCCGGCAGGCAGGATGCCCACTCCAGGGAGAAGACAACGTGCTCTGGCCTCTTTCACTGCCAGGAGGGGGCCCCCTGCTCTGAGCGGGGTCTTCTGCAAACACCCCTGTTCTACAGAGCCCAGCCAACAGCCCAAGCCCTACTCCCCACCGGAAAGCACAAAATTCAACTTGGTCTCAAACTTCACCCCATTCTGACCCAGTTCTGGAGCCCATGTTCCGG